TATCTCACTAGCCAGGAAAGCATGCACAATACTAGCATTGCTGCAATAAAATATTCATAGTTGTACATAAGATTTCAGTCTATTTGGTATGGCCCAACCCAGTCTGGAATGAAATTATAACATACATTGAGTAGCTGTTTTTCTGGGCAAACAATTTTGATTCCTGGGTGGATGAGGTAATATCTTTTATTGGACCAACTTCTGTTGGTGAGGGGGATGAGCTTTTGAGTTTACAATAAGCTCTTCTTCAGGACTGGGAAACGTAATCAGAGTGTCACAGCTAAATACAAGGTGGAACAGATTGTTGAGCATAACTAGTTAATGCATATTTCAAGGGACCATTCAAGGTGAACTGGCCCCTTAACACCTCTCCAGTCATAGGGAGGGGAAAAACGGGGGGCGGGGAAGGCAGCTGTGCGGATTGTTAGTGGGTTATAGATTGTTGTAATAATACAAAAATCCAGTGTCACTATTCAGTATATGATTTTTAGTATCTAGCAAAGTTATGAATTTATGCGCCATGGCTCATCTATTCAAAGTGCTGTGCAGATTTCCTTTGAGGATGAGGACTGATAGTGCAGATAGAGTGGTCACTTTGTGAAAAGTGTTCATCCACAGGTGACAAGGTGGTTTTGCCTTTTACCATTTTCCTATGTGAGTTCATTCAAGAGCGTAGTGATTGGTGTGACATTACACCCCATATTCTTCATGGAAATATGGTTATGATATGAATATGGTATAACAGATATAGTTTATGCAAGATGGGTCTTGTAAAATATCATTGGAAAGGTTATGATTTACTGAGTGTGTTTATCCAATTTGTATACATGTATCATTTTTGCAGGGCCGGCTCCAGGCACCAGTGAAGGAAGCAGGTGCCTGGGGCGGTCAATAGAAAGGCCGTTTGTTGTTGGGGCGGTACGTCTGGGGCAGCGGCGGCAGTGGCACTTCGGCGGCAGTTCGATCGGCCCACTTCAGTCTTCGGCAGCAATTTGGCGGCGGGTCCTTCACTTCCTGTCTTCATCCTGGGCGGCACTTCGGCAGCAACTCAATCCGGTTTTTCTTTTCTTTTCTTTTTTTTTCCTGCCACTTGGGGTGGCAAAAAAGCTGGAGCCGGCCCTGCATTTTTGTATCTGAAGTTGGGAATATTGACCATGTCTCTGTATTTCAAATGGGCTACGTTGGATGAGACCAAACAATGTTAGTGGCTTATTGAAGAAATGCACACAAGCATAAGGATTACCCCAGGAACTGTGTGCAATAGATACCTCTCAGAGATAGCTCTGCACAATGGGAACTGCTTGACCCAGATCAAATAGCTCTATACAATGGGAACTGTTTGACCCAGGTCACAGCAAAAAAGCTTTCCAGCAAGTGTGGGGAAGATATAAAAGAGGGACAATGACAACATGAAGTGTCCTCACTTTCCTTACAACACACCTGAAAACACTCGAAGAACAAAGACTGAACTGTGAGAAGTGATGGTCCCAGGCTAAGATCTTTAGCCTGTGTAAGAAAACCTGGGAAAGCCAAAGCAACTTGTGCCTTAAGAATCTGCCAGCCTGTTTATCACTCAGGGTGAGAATTTGTTAATTTGTGTCCTACCTATCCAGTGTGTTAAGCTCAGTCTGTGGCTTTTGTTTATTTACTAAAGTAATCTGCTTTGTTCTGTTTGCTATCCCTTGAACCACTTAAAATCCATCTTTTGTATTTAATAAACTTATTTCTTGTTTATAATATAACCCAGGTTATACAGTTCATAATTGGGGGGGATAAGAGGCTGTGCATACCTTCCTCCACATTGAGGGAGGAGGCAGATTTCATAATATACCTTTGGGTCTGCACTCCAAGGGAGGTGGACACCTGAGCGCTGGGGCAAGTCCCTTAAGCTGAGCCTTCCCAGAACTGATCTCAGTGTCTGTTTTGTTCCACAGTTGGGTGTGGCCCTACCTGTGTGTTTGCTGAAGGAGGATTAATAGCCTAGCTCAGCAAGACAGGTTAAAAGGGTGCCCAGGCTGGCATAACAGGTGGGCTCAGAGGTATCCCAATACATCAGGTGGCATCCTAAGGGATCCAACCCATCACAATTGGTTTCACCCACATGGTTGCTATTAGGACATTTAGTGCACTGGATGAGGTACACCTCGTGTTGTAATAGGCATGTGTAGGACTCATGGGATCTTGAAAGGTGTGTTGTGGGGATGTTGATCATTGTGGTATTGGAGATATGTCTGCTGGTTTTGCATCTGTTGTTTTGGCAGGGTCTGGTGCTGCTTTGAGTTGGTGTGTCCTGGTCTGTGCAGAGCTTGCTTCTGATGATGCACATGGAGAGGTTGGAGGAGTGTCTGAAGGCCAGAAGAGGGGATTCAGGAAAGATTTCTTTCAAGATGAGGTGCCCACTGATGGGTTTTAATTGTTTGATGATAGCGCATATGGGGTCTGGTGTGCACTGGTAGATGACAGCTTGGAGTGTATGGTCAGAGGAGGTTTTATTTCTGTATTGAAGCAGGCTGTCTCGGACTATTTGGGTGGCAGGTTCCATGATGTGATCTACTTCTTTGGTGGAGTGTCCTTGTATGGTAAGGTGGTTATGAATGTATTAAGCTATCCCAGATTTTCTCCTTGGAGCATATTCTGTGGTATCTGAGTGCCCGGTTGAAGACAGCAGATTCCTTGGTGTGTTTGGGGTGGTTACTGGAGCTATGAAGCAGGGCAATAACTAGGGCAGGGTGAGCAGGGCAGCTGACCAGGGTGCAAAACCAGCAGGTACAGAAAAATGGGGTGGCATCAGATCAGGCCCAGTGGTCACCCCCACACACAGTGTCAGCTGGAGCAGAGGGTGCTCAGCTCCCCACAGTATCAAGCTCATCAGTATAAACTGGAGCCCAGGGTGCTCATTGCCCCCCTCCCCACAGGATCTGGGCCCAGTGACCCCGGTGGGAGCAGGCTCTCCCCCCAGTGCTAGCAATGTGGCAGTGGCAGCAGGCAGGCAGGGCACTGAGCACAACCAGCTCTCCACCTTGGGGGGTGGGGGGGAAGAGGCCTGCAGGGAGATGCTGACTGACAGGCTGGTGCTGTGTCCCAGGCCCGCACCAGCCGCCCTGCCACCGTGCCAGGGAGTGCATTACCCCCCACCTCCTGTGGGTACCCCTGCCACAGGTACCTCATCCAGCACCCCCCCACCCACACACCCTACCAATACACACACACCCCTCCAGCACTCCCCCAAATATACCCTTCAGCACCCCACAACTGTACCCCCCAACTCTCCCTCCCTCCAGCAGTGTCCTCTATTTGGATATGGTAACCCTAGTGAGGTTGTTCCATTCTCCCGGCCTTAGTTTCCAGAGCTGATGTGAGCGAGTCTGCGCTGCCAGCAGCAGCCACCTGCCCGCAGCACCTAAGCTGGATGCCAGGCTCAGGCGGTGTGACTGCAAGCTTGGCAGCCACGGAGCTGGGGCAGGTCAGCCAAGGGGAGCAAAGGGCAGTTCTACCCCGTGCACAAGGAGTGTGGTGTGACCCTGGTGCAATGGCAGGTCCCCAGGCAGCGAGCGGGGTGTGATCAGGCTGCTGTGAGGCAGGTGCCCCAGGGCAATGAATACTGCAGGGAGCATCTCTGGCTCCAGGGGGCGTTGCCAGCCGGTGCTGGGCTCCTTCACAGCAGAGGCAAGAGTATGTTGGGGAGGCAGCTTGGAGCTGTGTTGCCCACCCTGCCTGGAGAACGACTGGCCACGCAGAGATGGCCTGGCTCAGGGAGCAAGGCAGGGAGGGCTGCCAGGCAGCCAGCCAATGGCCTGGCTCCCACAGCATGGAGAGCCAGGGGTCCAAGCAGAAGAGGTGTTTTGTTTTTAAACTTGGAAGTGTCAGTTAAGCATGCGTATCCTTACATAGGCCAGTCAGGTTAAAGTTCTTTTCCATAGAAATGGTCCTCTCTCCCAGAAGGTGGTCTGTATGTGTATGCCCTTGCTTAAGGAAGACAAGCCAGTTTCCTCTCTTTGCTGTGAATTTTAAAGAGACCCTACTTCAAATAATTTATATTTTTATAGAATTTTAATTTATATCACATCAATTCTTGACAAATGGGGCCCAGAAGGTCTGTCAGCCTCTCTGTTGGGTTCCCCATATTCACGACTTGTCTGTCGGCATTCTGCAGCATCCCTGGAGAGCCAGTCCTAGGGATGTTTGAACTGTGCAGACAGAGATGGTGCCCTTTGTCCCGATGGATGTGGCTCCTGGGGCTATGATAATAAAAACAACAACTGACAAAGTGGTGAGACCCTCATTAAAGGTAGGAGGGAGAATTGAAGAGACTGGCAGCCCTAAGTTACTCTTACATTCCCTCTAAAACTAACTCTGCCACCGTGTTACTTTTCCCCCAGACTCACTCTTGACAGGAAGCCCCACAGCAGCAAATCAGCAACTTGATATTACAGTGACAAACACATTAGAGTGATGATAGACAAACAACTTCTCTTTACTCTAGAGCTTCTTCTCAGACAAATGGTGCCCGCCCTGGGTCAACAGTAACAGGGAAATCTTAAGAGTACCAGAAAATTCAGTGAGCAGTGCATCTTTCCTTTGCATCCCAGTACATAGTCAAAATGCTTAACATCACCACAGTCTGTCACACCTGTTTAACATGGTGTAAAACTGTTTCAGAACCCATTGTGGGTGGGTCCTACAGAAACTTCACTTCTAGGCCTGGTCTACACTAACCCCCCAAGTCGAAGTAAGGTACGCAACTTCAGCTACGTGAATAACGTAGCTGAAGTCGACATACCTTACTTCGAACTTACCGCGGTTCAGACGCGGTCCACACGCGGCAGGCAGGCTCCCCCGTCGACTCCGCGGTACTCCTCTCGTTGAGCTGGAGTACCGCAGTCGACGGCGAGCACTTCCTAGTTCGATTTATCGCGTCCAGACCAGACGCGATAAATCGAACCAGGAAGTTCGATTTCCAGCCGCCGAACTAGCGGCTAAGTATAGACCAACCCCTAGGCTTATGGAAGATGGTAGGCACCAGAAGGCTTAAACTGTCAATTTCAGTTAAAAACCTTTATTAAAAAGCAAAGTGACGCTAAACCATACTATGAATCTGTTACAACATAAAATAGTTTCAGGACCCTTGTTATGCAGAGGCCTATACTCAAGTGGTTCAAGTAACAAAAGTCCACATCAAGGTAAAGCCCGATACATAAACTTCTGAAATTACCAAAGGTTAGAAACAGACTGGTACAAACTGAATTCCTTAATTATTATTATTATTATTATTATTTTTAAAGGCAGTGCTAAGCGGTCTTCAAGGCTCCTGGTAAAGTCACAGGTTGGCATAACAATGATCTGAATGAACCTAGAACTGAGAGGAAACGTTTGTAGTTGAAGTCACCAAAATGTGCTCCCTTTGATTAATAATCATGAGATGAGGTTTTCATCCCCTTTTTGGACATTTAAATGGGACCAGCAGAATGTGTGGACTGGAAGGAGTGAGCTTAACCTTAGCCATCATCATGACTGCAACCCCCACCTTCTCCTGGGACCTTGGAATCCATGGTACCATTAGGCCTTCATCATCCTGATCCCGCAAGGTCTCCTGACCAGACTGTGCCAGAGCAAGTTCCACACGACATTGCCCCCGCCTCTGGCTTCAGCTGAATCTTGAATAGCACTTGGAAGATGATATTTGGGTTCCTACTGTCACCCTCCCTGACACAATTTTCCTATCCTACTTTATTGATTCTCTTTTTCAATCGGTCTCCTTTTGCCTTCTGTCTACTAAGAGTCTGGCTTAGCCAGCCAAGACAACAGCATGCCCAGCAAAGCATCTAAAAGCAAATGTCTTAAGCAGCCTGACATTGCCAATGCCAGCTCAAGTGGCTGGTTAGACCGTGTACAGGACCTACATTTCTCCAGCAGCAAAGGCCGCAAGTGAGGATCAGCACCACAAACTGCATCTTCCATCTTTCCTTTTTTTTTCTCCCCTTTTGTCTTAAAACAAAAATCAAAACAGGACTGAAGTTTAGCAACAACAACTCCAAACCATCTATCCTAAACTTTTCTCTTTTCCCCCCAGTAATACTGATAATACTATCTTTAATATCCTTTAAGATTACCAACTAGGGGATCCCCCTATTAAAAAATAAACAACCCAACTGTACAGTGAAAGAGAGAGGAAGTAAGGAAAATTGTTACAATAAAAGCTTCTCAGTCCTTTACATTTCAATTCTTTAAGTGTTTTTCTTTCTTCCTTCTGTGTCTTTAATAAAATAGTTAAAAGATGGTAATGGTGGCTGTTAAATTAGTACTGATGTACTTCCATTGTGACATGAAAACCTCATGCCACACTTAACAGTGAATAAGAGTTTAATTAACTTCTTACCACCTGTTGGGTCCAACACCCCCTTTCTCCCAACTAGCCATAAAGAAATGGAGGGTGACTGGCAACCCTTAAATTGAGATCCATGTTCTAATATAACTGCTATTTGACAAAAAATATTTTTCACCATAGCATCTATCAGAACTCCTAGATGTTGTGAATCTGCAGAATGTTCCCTGAGAAGAGCGCACTTTTTTCTGAAACGAAGCTAATAGGTCCCTTATGAAGTCTCACAACACAATAATCTTATAAACCATATACTCTTGAGGTGTATGTGTGTCAGCCAAAACACATCCATGTACATAAAGCCACCAGACAGTTGTTCATGGGCTCCAGGGTGCCACTGTGGTATTTCAGTACAGATTCCTGAAGAGAAATTGAGCACTGAAAAAAACAAGCAGACACTCAGACATTTTACAAAGGACCCTAGTGCTTCATTTTAAGCATTCGTTTTTCTCTGATATTCTATTCAATATCAACAGTTTTTAGTTAAAAAAAAAATCAAAAAGTTCTGTCTTAGAGCTTTTCTAAATTTAGTACGCAATTTGGAGTTTGTCAGCTAATCCATAAAGTTATTGATCGCCATTATATAAAACCCATTTTTAAAAACATCCCATTCAAACAATTTACTACTGGAATAGTGAGCTCTGTAGAAATGCATTTGCTATGCTACAAGGGTATGTAAAAAAACCTCTGATTGTTTAGGAAGAACTAAATTCTCTTTCAGAAAAGGAATCCAATCCTGAAGTCCTTATTCAGGTAAAATGCCCATTGAATTCTAGGAAGTAGGATTCTGTGTTTTGTCTCCAAGAGGTCCAGTACATAAAGCAAAGCATAAAGCAAGGAGACCCTTCTGGATTCTGGGGTGCTGCTCTGGCACTCAAAACAGATCCCAGCACAACTTATAGCAACCTACAGCAGCTTTAACTCACTGCAGCCTATCCTAGGCTGCCTGTGGGCTCTATGGACCTGTGCACTACGGACCTACCCCCAGTCCACCACTATACCAGGTCTTGGGAAAGGGGCGGACCAGGGCTGTTTACTGGTGAATTCTTCTTTGACCAGTTGTGGCTCCTGTACAGCCACTATATGCTGCTAGAGTAGCATGAGAGAGCTGAGTAGGAGCCAGAACCTATCGCAGTGTATGTGTTGTGCCTGAGAAAGGAGTTCAGGGTGGATCCAGCAATATCTCAGAGGTTCCACTTACTTGCGCATTCGCTTGTAAGTGACACTTTTTATTCTCACTCCTAAATTTCCCCAAATGTTGTGCAGGTATGTAGCCACTTGACTCACATTAGAATCAATAGGAATCATGACGTTAAAACCCCATACAGCTTTCAAAAATCAAGTCTTTGAGGTAGAAACAAAAGGATATAACTGGCCAATTTTATTCCATGCTTCAAATTCTTATATCAAACCCGTTACCACTATATGTATAGACAGGCCAGGTCTACAAAGATATTTCAAGTATGTCGACACAGGGATAAAAGTCCCACGGCATGGCCACGGTTCACTGGCGGGGACTGCGGGGCTAAAAATTGCTGTGTGGACATTCTGGCTCAGGCTCCAGCCCGAGCTCTGGGATCTTCCACCCTTGCAGGTGAGAATGTAGTGGGATTTTCAGAAGTGCCTACGCAGGTTAGATCCCTACCTTCCATTGACTTTAGTTAGGCACCTAACTTGCTTAGGCACTTCTGTAAATTCTACTAGGTGTCTCTCTGTACCTGTAGGAATTTGCAAATCTCTGTAGATCTTACCCAATGTCTACAGTAACCCATGAATGCTACAGTTTTTAAAGACAGGAGCCTAGACAGAATGTCCAGTCCATAAATGCTCATTTTATACCCCCAAGGTGAAATTCGGGCAAACGCACATCGTATGAGCCATTCAAGTCTTCCAAGGAGGCTTTATATTAAAAATACATGTATGTTTGTAACTGAAGTCAGCCAGTCTGAGTACGAACAAGGGGCAGAGCTGCTAAGCACAATGGTGCCCTTTTCACACAGTAGTTTTTCAGACCAGAACTGTAGTTTAAGTGAGGCAGAGGTCCTTGTGCAAGCCCTCTGCAGTGGAGTGAATTTCACACTATTATACTGGCTATAAAGGGCTTTCATCTTAAATACCACTGTCCAAATCCATTTTGAATATTCTTTTAGACTATTGGGTTGCATGCCCAGCTTTAGTGCAGATAGAGCCATTTGGCAACAAGCAATTTCTGTTTCAAAAATTACTGGAACGCTTATTCTTTGGTAGCTGACTTGTAATGTTTCAATGTGCGAGCAGAAGGATCAGTAGCTTCAATCCATCTTGGCATCCAGTAATGAGAGAGCCAATCAGCGCGCCCGGGGTAGTGCTTCTCAAAGATCTGGCGGTAGTAGTAACCTTCTTTAGTCTTAGGAGGATTAAAAGGAAATTTCTCTGCTGCCTTTTCCAGCAGAAGGTCATCAACCTATGGACAAGCGCGAAATAAAAATTAAGTGGTGAAGTTACTTTATAAATTATTCACCAGACCATTAGCTGCAGTCGAAATACCATCATCTCAGTGTAGAAGGATTTACCATTAACTCCACCGCTTCTTAAATTCCAGAAAGAGATTAAAAGCTTTCTAAAAGGTGAAATTCTGCCCTAGGATGTGCACATGGCTCCCACTGAGCTCAAGGGGAGCCTGATCTGCACAACTTTATTGAGAATTAGTCCCATAAATGTCCCTATTAGTGAAATATTGTTTCTGGCTCCACAGTAAGGGTCAACTTTTTTAAAGCTAAAATTCTCTTTTCTAGTAAACTTACAAAAGTATCTCCCCATTTTCTTCCTGCCTTTCTCTCTTTATTGAATGATTCTGAGCAAGCTCAGGGTATGCAGTTATCTGCTTCTTGATAGGGTCTCTCTTCTGCCTGCGTTCAATGGACCCCAATTCATTCCAATCAGCACAACCCAGTCTGCAGGCTTCCAGTGGCAGAAAGTACCCCAGGAGCGGGAGTGCAGAGGTCAAGTCTCCTGCAGCCTCCATTTCACCAAGGGCAGCTTTCCCTGTAGTACAGGGGTGTAAACTGCACTGGCACCAGCAGAGGTGAATCTCACCCACAGGCTGGCGTAAGGTGGGCATTATGTCTTACCACTAGTGATCATTTACACACAATCCCCTGTGCTAAGCAAGTGTAGCTGTAGTTACACTGCCTGGCTCGGTAAGAAGAGATTTCAGCTCCAAAAAGGGCCTAACTATGCTACAACCAAGTGTGGCTACCAAAAATTGACACTGCACTAACTCTGCAACTGGGAACAGCAGGTAGAGGTGATATAAATGTATAAACTACAGCAGCTGCCCTAAGCTGAAGGATTTCCCACAGTACCGCAGCTGCAGCATTCATTTCTCACATGAAACTCAGAATCAAGCAAGTTTATCCATAAACTAAACACACACATATATTTGCAATCCAGCTATTTCCTTCACTTAAGCCTTTGACAGTCCTTTTCATGAGATTTTATCGTTCCTTTCCATCTAAAATTTCACCTCACACTACAACAGTTTTCATACCCTGAAGTACTTTCATTTCTTAAAAGCAATCTTGCTCCTGTAATATTCTTGAACAAATGGCAATTCGAGAACTTCACAACTCAAATATTTATTTTCTGGACTATGTGCAAATTCCACCTTTCATTGGCTGATGCAATTTCTAATATACCTGCAATGGCTTTAAAACATAGAATGAAAGCATATGGTACTGTAGATAACAGGCAGTAATTTTAACATAAATAGGTGTACCTGGAGATCAATATGCTCTTGGAGAATTGAAAACCAAGACTTCTTGAGAGATGTTATACCATCACTGAAGGCTTCTTTGGGTCTCCAGAGTATTTCTTTCGGAAGCAAGTTGGAATCCTGAAACGATTCTCTCAAGAGATGCTTTTCAATTCCATCCTATTGATAGGACGCATAACAATGCTGTGAATGTTAGGAACCTAAGTGTAACAAACCCTACAAGACAATTTTTAAGGCTAGATTTTTAAAACACATCTTCCCCTTTTGAAGCCCATTCAATAAAAAGATCAGGCCATTGGCACCAATCCAGCAAAGCAATCAAGCATGTGAACAGTACCATTAAATTCTATAGGATTACTCCTGCTTAATGCTCTGCTGGATCACAACCTTAATCTCCAATATGCCTTCTGCGTGCTGTGTAGGTTTGTATACCTTTGGAATTCTGAGTTCTGCTGGCAGGGATAGGTAATAAGAAGTAAACCGGTGATCCAAAAACGGGACTCTCAGTTCAAGACTAAAAACAAAACAAAAAAAAATTAAGTTAGAAAACATACTACATCAACCCCATGACACGTTAGTTTAGAATTCCATAACTGTTAACATCCATTTATTTTGAACAGCAGAAGGAATACAAGGCTTAGTACTTTAATATATGAATATTTCACTTATGCTCAAAATTTAATTTCCAATTAATCAATTAGGACAATCCAGTAAACTATCTGCACAGTACTTATCAACCAAAAAAGTCCAAGAATTTTGTCACGGTGTATGCTGCCATCTATTGGAAAGTTTATGATATCATGCAAAAATGTAGGAATTCCTACAGTAGGTTCCACAAAGACCTCCATAAAACAATGCATTTTGCATATAAACACTGAAAAAAAAAATCCTATAATCCTAAAAGATCTGTCAAAAAACAGCAAGTTGCCTGTGAGGAGATGCATTAGTTTCACCCAAAAGCATACCTGAGTTTGGCTTTCAAACATGATAGCAATAAAGATGCACCTGCGGGAACCAAAAAGACATTTCATAGTGATTCTGCAATGCTCTCATGCAGAATTTTCATTAACTTCAACAAGAGTTCCATGTGCAGAAGCACTGAGCCCCTACTGCTTATGTTCGGGCCCAATATGTTGTGGAGCCAGATAACTAATATCATTTCTAAGACTTCATATTTGAGGTGACAAATGAGTTGATAAGAACTTTGCCTTTGGAAGCGAGGAACTGCATCAATCACTCCTGTACTTGCAGCAGGGCCTGTTAGTTTAAAGCATGTAACATAATGGGCCAGGACTTCAGCCGGTGCAAGTCAGTGTAGCTACACTTAAAGTCAGCTGGGGAAGTGGTCCAATGTAACTTGGTGCATTCCAAACCTGAGTTTATTATTCTTAGTTTTTCTCCTCACAGAAAAAAATAAACACCAACTGCAGGTAATGTGAAGTACACACTGCCCTTGGAGAACGACTACGGTTCAGTAATATTTGAGTGCAGAGGCTTGAACTTCCTACCCTTGTATACTGAGTAAGAGGTTAGGGCTTTTCAGTTTCAGCCAAAGATTGTTCAATGTGCATAAACGAGAATCTGCTACTATATATTTTCTGCAGGTGATGGGCATCTTTGACTGTTTATACTTCTTTGCCCCCAACCCCTCATACTGACTGTTACCCCTATTTCTCACATCACATCTACATTTAACTATAAGTTATCAGAGCAGGGGCCTTGTCTTTCAAATTGTTCTATAAAGCATTTCACAAACTTCTGTATAACAGGAAAAGGCAATTGCAGCTCTTCAAGCAAAAGGCAATTCAAAGTGTGAAAATAAACAAACCTGAATAAGCAGCAAGTCATCGGGGCAACATGCATTCTCCCCATTATTAAAATGGAGAAACTGAGGCACAAGGTTTACTTGCTCATGGTTACACAAATCTGTGGCAGAGCCAAGAACAGAGCCCAGATTTCCTGACTGCCCAAGTCTCGTGTTTTAGTCACAAGACTCTCCTTCCCTTCATATCTATCCAGCTTCTTTATTAATACTCTATCACTTTGTCTTGTCAATTTCCTTTTTTTTTTTTCTTCCACTTTCCATTCCTTAATGTTCAGATGCATCCCTGTTGTTTATGCCAGAGGTCCAAAATGTATATAAACATATTGCCTAAGCTCTTTAGTTATTTTTAAAACTTTCTGGTTTTATCTTGGTCACAAAGGGCCATTTCCCCCCCCCAAAATACTAACATTTCTAAATATAGTAAATATTTTGTACTGCTCACAACAAAGATCATTCCTCCTAGACAAAGGCCTTTCCTGCATCAATTGGCAGAATAGCAACCTGGTGCATTTGATAGGATCAGTTATGCACAATGCTATGAATGCTCCACCTAGATTCCTTCAGGATACAAATCCAATTTAATCTTGGTATGTAACTTTATACTGTTCTCCAGCCTTCTAGCTGAGATTTAACGGGTATCTTTTTCTGTTTGTTTTCTCTTACATGAAGCCACAAAAAAGGATATTGCTTTCCTGCTCACACGAGCTTTTAGGGCCAGATCCTGGTCCCACCAATAAACAGCTAACACATTTGTCCCTTAAAATATACTGAATTATAGATGAAGGCAACTGAGGGTAATATTTCCCACTACATGCTACCAAATGCACCACCGTTTAGATGTTTGTAAGAGGACAGCAAGATCTTTAAGATTCTAGTTTACTTAGGTTCTTAAACTACACCTATAACTGTGGTCTGTGGGAGCCTAAAACAGGCCTTACCCATGAGCCGCAGTAGTTCTGTCTGCACGAAGTACATCAAACATGTAGAGTTCTCTCAGAAGCCTCTCACTCTCTTCCATAGCTTCTTCAGGAGACGGGGCCTGTAACATACATGCATACATAGTGCACACATATATATTGCATGGTTGTATTGCTACTTTGAGAATTTTCTGTAGCATATATGGATTTCCAGTGATCTCTTTGCACGGAAGGAGAAATTGTACTATGGAATACGCTGCAGAGTACAACGATATGCTACAAACTTTTAGGGCATGAATGTTAAAGCAACCTGTACACTAATTTACACTGCAGGCCAACTTATTTCACAATTTCCAAACATTTGAGGGGAATACATACAATTGGATGATTAGGACTCCTTTCCCCAACCTTCCTCACTTTTATAGAAACACGCCGCATGCATGCTCATACTCATGGGCTTACTCCAATACTGTACAAATAGCATGTGCCCCGTGTATTTCCCAAAAGCTATTGGGACAAAACTGCCCCAGTGTCTTCTTTCTATTCAAATTTCTCAGGAATCCAAGTAGGACATAAGCGATCTCAGAACAGGGCCCTAAGGACTCAAATAATGAACCTCCTCAATAAAATTTGTTTTGGAAGCAGTTACATGGAGAGGCTGAATTTAAAAAAAAAAAAAAAAAAAGATTGTTTAAGATTGTATATCTGTTACTATGACAGTTCTCACCACAAGCCAAGAGGATGTAAGTGATATTTGTTGCACAAAAGGTATAAAATGTTTAGGCCAGATTCTCATCTAATGTAAATCAGCATAGCTCCTTTGACTTCACACTTGGCAGTCTCAGTACAGAGGCCAAGAACTGCAGGGAAAGAAGACTGAACTGTTTGTTTACCCTTAGAAGTGGTCTCCGCAGGTCAGTGTTGGCACACACATTAGCATGACAGTTTGGGGAAAACCTGCACTATGACAGGACTGTCTCTATTCCATAAATAAACAGAGGAATTAATGAGAAGATCCTCAGATAGTGGAAAGTGTCAGAGCTTCATTGAACTCAGTGAGCTATTTCAATTTACACCACTGAAGATCTGTCCTTCAGTCTCCAGCTGGCACCTTAATCAACTCTAAATTTTCTTTTAAAAATGTGGAAGAGAAAAAAAATGTTTGAATTTAAAATTATTACAAAAATGCGTAATGATCTCCAAAAGGAAGATTCTACAACAGGAGGAAAAAGGAAACGTCTGGACCCTGGACACAGCTGGTGATGTTCTCTTAAAACTCTATTATTTGACTTCAGTGGGACTACTCACATGCACAACAGCTTGTGTGCAAAAGTGTTTGCGAGATGGGGTTTTGAATACTTGCTTATTTATCCACTTTAATACATTGTTTACTTGTAAGTGGATATAAAGTACCAGCACCAGAAAGAATTAATATATTCCAAGGACTCTTTTCTGATTATTGTGGCCCAATATGGGCATGCACAAACAAGAATCCTTTTTCCTTTGTGAACAAAATGTTGTTCTTACCTTATGGAAATAGATATAGCCTTGTGTAAGCTCATCCGATCCTTCCCCTGAGAAAATGACCACACTGTCTGTCTTCTTGCGTATGTGTTTGGAAACCAGATACATACCTAAAATAATAAAATCAGATTTACGAAGTTACTGTAAATTCAGTTATAACTGAACAAAATTCTGACTTCAGAAGTACAGCCTGCACAGTAATTATTTTGATTTAGTGTTTCATAGCTTCTCTTACATATTAGAAATGAGGGGGAAACAGTTGAAATCCACAACAGCAGCAACTCTTTCTGCTTTTCAATGCCATTAAAATATCACTAACCCATATCATTTTAGGTATATTTTCTGTATCTAAATTGTTCCCATGGTGCATGCTTTCCTATAACTAGTCCTTAAAACTCAAACAATTGAAGGGAAAAATATATATAAGTGGCCTTGATTCAGGAAAGCTAAGTCCTAGTGAAGTCAGTTGGACTTAAGTACATGCTTAAAGTTAAGCACATGCTTGAGTGCTATCCTGAATAGGGATGTTTTCCTGAATTAAGGCTTATATTTGTAAGAATAAAAATAACCAGTCAAATATTTATTACTGCTGTAAGTTTATCTTAACAGTTATACTGTATAGTCCATTTCATTTCCAAAGCACTGTACTAATAAATTCTCTCTATTCTCTTCATATACATACAATGAATTCAGCCTTCTCCCCATTGAACCTTTCCACATGATTTAGTAATAGAATAATTTTGGTTTTGTTTATTTTTTTTTTCATTTTTATTTTTTTAAGACCGAGTTCATTAACAGGTGTTTATTTCAAGGAGTTCTACTACACGGTCATACTAAAATCACATATGAATGCAAACAAAATGTGAAAAAAATTGGAAAAATTATTTATGTTTCCATATTTGTTATGGCAAAGTAGTATATATATTTTGAATTCACAAAACTTTGCCTGCCTTTCTGGAAGATACGCTTTAGCCAGACATGAAGTTTTTGGTTCAGAACAGGAGTAAATGGATGAGATTCTATGGCTTGTGTTTTACGGGAGGTCCGACTAGATGATCTAATATTTCCTTCTGGCCTTAAAATCTGAATATCTGTCTTTCATTTAAGGATCTCAAAGCCTCAATAAACCTCAAAGGAATGTAAATGTTGTTATATCTGTCTTACCAGTAAGACAAATAACTTGCCATGGTCCCACACTGAGGACTTGTCTACAAAAACATTTAGTTCACCACAAACTGTAGTCTAATTCTAGCCTGCGCTAGCCTACCACAAAATAAATAAGTGTCTGCATGGACCCTGCTGCCATGCATTAACAGTTCCCTAGTGACCTCTGATTTACTCCTGTTTCAAAGAAGAGTAGATCAAAGACCACTAGGAACTGTTAGTGAGCGGCAGCAGGATCCACACAATTAGTTCACGGCAGGCTAGTATTGAGTAGATTTACACCCCAGCTTGCCATGAAATAAGTGTTTGTGCAGAAAAGCCCTGAGACAATGACAAAGTTGGAAATAGAAATCAGGGTTCCTGGCTCCCAGGTCCTCTCTGATCATTAGACAGTATACACGGACCTTTTGTGTAAAACAATACATCAGTACTAAGTAAAGAGTATATTTAAAAAAAAAAAAATCTTACCAACTGAAGCTCTTACTGTTGTAATATCATATGTCTCCAAGCTAAAAATAACCTCTTCTAATGCCTGAATTCCTTCTTCAGAATTAAATATTACTTCATGATGTTCACTGCCAATATAAGCAGCTACCTGTTTATAACAGATTACATTAGTAACCTGCCTTTTAACCCAAAGTGCTTTGCAAACATCCACAACACATCACTAAAATGCCAGAGCTCTTCTGCAACAAAAATTACATAACTGATTAAGACAGGAAGAAAATAAAATGGATATCCACTATAAGCCGTGGTGGAAAATATTTCCCAAATTATAATTTATTCTAACCCCAATGTTTACACAAAGTACAGTGGAATCTGTAATGGCCGTGACATTTGTTTTTTTAAGTACAACACGGCCTAAAAGACAGCACAGTGCCCCCCAAAAGATTTGTCTAAACTACAAGTTCACTGGCAACTAACACATTTGCAGATGCTAGACGAGACACTTCCAGTGGTTCTTCCAAGATCTAAAAGTTTAGTAGTTTAGCCTTGGACTCAGCCACAAATGGAGGCCGAATTGAGGAATCTTTGAAAGCATGGCCCTTGCAGCAGAGCCCTGCGTGAGACTATTTTTTTAATCCTGCTCCCATACCTTCCCGCAATACCCACTCCCACCTGCTCACACATTTTTTCTTGCATTTTTATCCTCCTCCCACCCGCAAAAACCTTAGATCCTGCAAGAAAGACAGATTCCCCCATGCTACCAAAAAAAAAGTTAATATTTTTATATATTATAAAAATAATTTTTACCATTAAAAAAAATAAAACAAACCATGCTTAAACCATTTAGTGATGTCCCACAAATTTCCGCAGTCTGGTTTTTTTTGCCCACCCAATCATGCCTGCAACAAAAGTACATTTTACCCACTCCTGGTATTATGACAGCAGGTCCTGCAGGACTCCCCGGATCCGTCCCTTGTAGTAATAACGCAGTGACAGTTTTGGTCACAAAAAGATTTTTCAAATACATAAGAACAAACAAATAAAACCAACCTATTTCTGTAATTTAATTAAGATTTAATTAAGCAGCAAAGCCAATGCTGTACAAACTTGGTTTTACTACAAATTCTGATTCCATACAAAAGAGGATTAAGACTACATCCAGGACACATTGTGACCTTATACAGGTAATGTAAAAGCAGTATTCTCTATTCAGCTTGAGCACACTAACTGTAACTGAAGACAAAAATATTACTATACCTTTCTGGCAGCCAATAAATCAGGACTGTCTTCCATTCCAATGGCAAAGGTTTGTAAAGGGTAATTGATGCTTGATTCTTTCATCAGTTTCAGGAGCATCGCAGCAACCAAACTGGAATCCAAACCCCCTATCAGCAAAACAATTTATTTTGTTATTTTTTTAAGGCACAAGCACCTGTACAATGGAAACATGATTTACATAGGTCTTGCTTTTTAAATTGTGTGTGAATCCAAGACATGATGTACAAATGAGGGTGGAACAGAGCTCTAGAAGAAAAAGACGGCACTGTACAATTTCAGTGGAACAGCTGGAGTAGCAATTACTAGTTTATGTGCTGTCCAGGAACCGCGACAAATCTTTTTTTAATATACCACCGTGGAAGATCTATTTGTGCAATGATTCTAAATAAACATACTTTCTCTCTGCCCATCCTGCCAAGATTGGACTGATTCCCACCCCCCAAATACAAAACTGTACTCATCTCCTTCATGACTATACTTCTACCTACTGCTAACAATCGTTCTCCCTAAGCTTTGCCAGTTCTGGCCTGCTCACAGTCCCCAACTCTCTCTTCTGCTTGCAGCTACCATTCCAGCCATCTGGCACACCCTCCCTCAGCTTCACTATCCTTCTTGCCATTTTAAAAGCAAAATGTACAACTCTTCATGCCTATCTCATTTACTGCCACATCCCTTGGTAAAACACACTGTTGAAACTGCATGCACAGGGCAATAGTTGTATAAATAACACACAATTAGTGTGTACCTAGATTGTAATTATGGAGATTTGACTACGCTGCTGTAACTTGAGAACTTTACATTTTGAAATAGTTTTGGCTCTGGGTTTTTTGTTTGGTTGGGGTTTTTTTTGGGGACGGAGTGGAGGGGATGGACACTGTCCCATCCCCAGCACCACAATACCCTTCCCAGCTTTTATGTAGGTAAAGGAAAGGAGTTAGTAGCACTTATCAAACTAATAATGGCTTCTATTGAGCCCTGCCTCATTCCAATGCAATAAGATACACAGTGAACATGTGTCATTATGCCATGCATACACACATGCACAACCTACCTTAACTCTGTCAGTAAGAACTCCTAAAAAAAAATTGTAGTGGATCAAATGTCAGACCCAAGACTAGACAGCAGATACCTGGATTCTACAGTAAATGCCTAACCACCAGAGAACACCTGCCTCCCAGCCAAGACACTGAACTTCCTTCTGGACTTTAGATTACCCCCTTGGAAAAAGTTAGTATTAGTTTTGGCCCAGATACCCCTAAATCAGTACACACAGGATATGCCTTCTCCCTCTCTGCCCCCACAAACACACGGCAGAAAAGAAGCCATCTCCACACCCAATTTTCCAACTCCCCCTCTTTTCTGGAGTACACAGAGGCCTCTCTATAGACTTACCTTGTTATTACAGTGATGTCTCATTTTTATAAGATATTTACCCTCACTAAAAAGCCCTATAACGTTATGAGTACATTGGATTAGCACTGATTAAAGCGTTGGTTTTGGATCTTTAGTGAAAGATGGCCAGGCACTCTGCAATCCAACCTCACAGCTCAGGTTCCATTAAGTATAATAATATAGTAAGAGGCTCAATAAAGACCATAACAATTTTCAAAAATTCCTTCAAATTTCTGTTAAAATTTTTGGTAGGTAGAAAAAGTGCATTAAAAGTCCTGTTATGTTAGATGCATCACAGACAGACCAGAGTAAGTAAGCACTTTATTTATTTATTTGGGGGAGGAGGGAGTGTAGGAGCAGGATTTTAGAATTGTACTATGAGAATTAATGTATGATTTGACTTTACCCTGTCAGCCACCCTTTTTGAATAGCAGAAAGGAATGACAGACCAGAACAACTAATTATGGTCAGCCTTTTGTTTTAGGATAAGTTATAATGTCTACTATGGTTTCCTATATGTATTACAAATTAGGCACTCTACTTAAATATACATTTCTTTGTTTTAACGTTTTAGTAAGTAAGAGACAGGATCTTGTATTGTATCTATGTTAAGGAGATTAGAAGAAATGAGAGGGCCTGAAGCCCCAATATGAATTGTTTTAGTTATAAGATTTAGCAAGGCTTGATTTACAATGTATTCTGCTGAATATAAAATGCTGTCTGTATACCTTTGAAGGTTTCTGTAAGAGAGATTGTTTGTGTGAATGAGGAATGAGTGCATCAGGAAAAAGATAAGGTGTGAAAGCCATCACAAATGTCCAGATGGTCAAAAAAAGTGAGATACTTGGAAAGACCAGGAGACAATCAGAAAACATCCATTGTATCCGATGCTAGCAGCATTGATGACCTCAGATGTGAGGCAGGCACTCCCGAAGGCGAGACAACAAATAGAAGATAACGATGGGAAGCCCGACAACAACCATCAAATGATAACAGCAGAAAATCCCAAGATTAGCACCACTTAAGGACTAATGATTACAGGATGACATAGCAAAATGAATGGACTCAAACGGGAATTTGCAACTATAAAGCTGGGATGTTTTGCTATGGAACTCTGGGTTCAGTCCTGCAAAGCCTCGGATCGCGACCGACAAGAGCCCAGCTCCTCACTCGTGCTCAATGTAACTGGCTATTAGATTGCCTCAAGCTACAACAGACTGGTAACTATAAACATCAACTGGTAGGTGTGTGTGTGTGTGTGTGTGTGTGTGTGTGCGCGTGCGTGCGTGTGTGTGTGTAGCAGCATATGCTAACTGTTGTATTTTCAATAAATGTGGCATATTTGCCTTCGCCTGAAAAGATCCCGTGTGCTTTGTATGAGCATAACAAGAGAAGAGAGCAGGGAAGAAAAGTATAATCATTCTAAGTTTTGCTATTTACCTGACAAAAGACAGCCAATTCTTCGGTGACTCATTAAACGTTTTTTAACAGCATTTTCAAACAGAAGCCGAATGTTGCTTTTCACCGTTTCGAGATCCAAACCTGCCACAAAAGGAAACAAGCAAATAGCTTTGTTTCAGGGGTTTCCATTAAGGCTTTGCTGGACTAAACTAAATAAGGATACAACATTCTTCGCTATCAAATGAATTTCAGACAAGGATGCAGGAGCTCCAATATATTCGCAGGCAGTCACATACAAAGAGAGCCCCCAAGTATCACACCCGTACAGAATAAGGTTTCTTTGCAGCTCTTTGCCAAATAATTCTACCACGTACGCCACACAATACAGGTTACATGTTCATGAAAAATTAAGTAATGAATTATTCTGATTAATTTAAAACCAGGTTATAAAAATCAGTTCTTTGCTGTGTTACCTGCAGGCAGATTTTCCACTGTATCATAAGCAGCATGCAGAGGTTCATCTTTACAACTATGAAATTTTACCAGTTCCACTGATGCAACTTTGCCAGATGGTTTTAAATCCAACACTTCATAGTGTCCCGGAAGAAATGGCTCCACTTTAGGACAAGTGGACATTGAGTGCTTTAAGTTGATAAGACCTGCAGACATGAAAACATGTGGAGAACAAATTTTCAGGAGTTTCTGAGTATTTACCATGCCCATCATCAGGGTTCCTGAGCTGCTTAAAAGTAGAACCAAAATATTTTTCTCCCGATTATCTATTATAGTCTAATTCTGCCCTGGCTGGTACAACGATGAGGGGAAAAAAAAAAATATGTTGCCTGTGCCCTCCTCTGGTGCAGGAGTCCTGCCAACAACAGATTGGGTTGAGACATGTTTTAGAGTAGCAACAAAGTGAACTGCAAACAGACAGGGTGTGCCCTGTAACTAGCACTTGCTGCTAACAGCAGCATGCAGCACATGATACCCCCATCTAGCTATGATAAAGCCACCAAAACAACAGACAACAACCTCATTGGGTCATGGTTCAGAGGCTACCATATTATCTTTTAACTCTATGGAGAAACCCTACCTACCTTGTTGCCTGTGTGGGGAAAGAGGCTCTTGACACTCACTTCATCCCCTAATTCACCAAAGGGTCTGGTCCTGTGCTTATTGAAGTCAATGTCAAAACTCCCATTGACTTGAATGGCACAGGATCAGGTCTCAGTGCAGCACAGGGCAAACTTTACTATAACTCAGCTTCTAACTGCTAAGTAGTATTTTACTACTGGGATGTTTTAGGGAAAATATGGCATAATTGAAGACAGTGACAGGGTCAAGTGCAGTACATTTACTGCCTGTGTGAGCTTGAAAGAGAGAAATTAACAAATTTACATATAAAACCAAAAAGAGGTTAACAAAAACCACTAAGTGGCCAAAGTCACTGCAGAGTTGATATTAAAATAAGTAATTATTTGTATCAATTTAGCAATTCCATAATTACTAAATTATAGACTCAGAACCTGAATGTGTTGTTTCTAATAAAGGCCTCAGAATCAGACTTGCACTAAAATTGTCAAGGGCCATATTTTACTTTAATTCTACACGTCAAACTTCTGGTGAAATCACAGGGAGTATTTTGCAAAAACTGATGGTTTTTTGCACATGGTTATTTGGATGTAGCCAGATGAATGTCAAAACATCAAGTTATCTCAGCAGTGATACAGAAGGGAACTGAGAGCTGAATCCAGGAGTCCTTATTGGGAAAAAAAATACCATAGGCAGTTAAGCACAAATAAAAAGACTGTAGGATTGAGTCTCTGAGATTGCATCATTACAATGGTCGAGCTAATTTGGATGCAATAACTAAACACACATACAGCAGTTAAAGGGTAAATGTGAGGAGACAAGAGATTTATTTGTATCTTGTTCAAATAAACTCCCTTCCTATCCCAGTTTGATAGTGTTTATACATATTAATGTCTATGGTTCCAGCATTTCATTGTTTTTCTAAAAATAAAGAACGGGTGGAAGTAGGGTGACCAGACATCCCAATGTTATCAGGACCATCCTGATATTAGGGCCTTTGTCTTATATAGAAGGTGTGGCCAAACTGTAGCTCGTGAGCCGCATGCAGCTCTTTTACAGTTAAAGTACGGCTCCCGGAGCCCCCCAACATACCCCTCCTCTCATTCTCCACCTATAAGACTGGGCAGGGGGGAGCTCGGGGCTTTTACCCTGTGGCAGGGTGGTGGGACTAGGGGCTTCTGCCCTGTAAAGGGGGGAGGAGGTCTAGGAGCTTTAGCCCAGTGGGGGGTGAGGGCAAATCGGTGCAGAAGCCCCACACCACAGCAGGCACCGCCCCGCAGGTCAGGTTGTGCACGTCTTGAGGCTCTCTAACCTCTGAAGATTATTGTATATGGCTCGGAGGCTCAGTAAGTTTGACCTCTCCTGTTATATATGCAACTATACCCCTCTCCACCTCTCTCCCGTTACACACAAGAAAAAAAAAAAGAAATGTCCCAATTTTTCACACTTGCTATCTGGTCACCCTAGGTGGAAGTATCAGGTCTAATTGACATTGACTTCACCTGACTCCTATATAACTGATCAGAATCAAGACCTCAAATATTATCTGAAATCAGATAAAGATACCTGGCAGTCATAACTATGTAAAAGTAGATAAATTGATTTTTAGCTATGTTAAGAGGCCATTCAACTCTAAAAAGTCTTCCTATTTATAAAATGTCTATCTTGAGTTCTATTTACATTTAAAAACAAAACAAAAACAAAACAAAACAAAAAAACAGATGGGAACCACATGATTTTATTTTATACTGACCAGATTCAAATACCAATAATTTTGTTGCTCATTTTTATATATCCTTAACGATTATCAAGAGAATGAAATTTGTGTTCCTCCAAGACTTTTTATATTTTGACTCAACAGCAGTGATGATGAAGTTGATTACTAAATTACTGAACTTTATTGATTTTACCTTTTGCCTCAGAGCAGACACCCAAGAATCCATCTTCAGTCAGCACCTTAAACAATGGCCTGACTCCATATGTATCTCTTCCCAGAAACACTTTCCTGTTTGCAGTGTCCAGCAGGATGAATGCAAACACACCATCTAGCATGCAGGCTGTTTGCTCTATTCCTCCTCTGTTGTAAAGATGAAGGATTACCTCGCCATCTACTAAAGTTTGATATTCAAATCCAAACTGCTTTTGCAGCTAAAGAAAATAATTATTAGAAAGAAAAAAAGAGATTAGCATTCATAGACACTGACTGCATTCATTTTTACTTAAAAAAAATAAAAGGGAACATTTACTTACTTGTAATTTAAAAAAGAATATAGATTACTTGGTGAATAAGAGTTTGAAAACTTTATAGATGTTTTCATACAAGCAAAGGTAAGGATACATTTGTGTTTCAAATCTGATCTGGGTCCTATTTGCAGCTCTGCCACTAACTTCCTCTGCAACTCACTTCAGGGACAAATTTTCAAAGGTAGCTTAAAGTTGTGTGTGCTTCAGTTGCTGGGTGTAAAATTTGAGACACCCTGTGTCTGATTTTGAGAGACACTGAGCTCACTTAATCTAAAATTAAATCTCTTAATGGGAACAATAATACTTATCTACCTTACAGGGGTGTGGCATTGCTTAATTCATTAAGATTTCTAAAGCCCTTTGGAAATTAACCGAATTTGCTTCAATTATACAATACAGTAATAATACTTTGACCTGAGAATTTCATTTTGCCAGTTTAACTGGAGGAATTAAAACAAACAAACAAACAAACAAACGTTTGTTCGGTGAAATTTAAGATTCTTTCATAAGCAAAAAAAAGCAGTTTCAGATGCCAAAAGTTTTAGCAGCCATGACTCATGAGTATGCTTCATGCCCTTGTTGTGCTACTTTTAAAAATTATTTCTACCATCTACTGGATGGTAGAAAATCATCTAAAAATAACCTGTAAGAGAGCAACTGTAAAAAAGGTTACTATCACTATATTTTTGATAATTTAATAATACTTTTTAAATCATGAGGTGAAATCTTGGCCTCACTGAAGTCAAAGGGAATTTTGTCATTGGTCACCATGGAGCTCACCTATGGTTCTTTAACAAATAAGCTCCAAAAACATACTTGCCAACTGGAAATCAACCTCTTTACTCAAATTGTTTTTAAACTACATCAGTGCACACATCATTTTATAACTCCCACTGATGGCAATGCAAGTTTTGCCTGATTAAGAACTGCCGGGTTGGACTCATGTTCAGAGTCTGTTTTTAGAAAGCAGTAAGTGCTACTGAAAATGACCTTAACATACTGCAGAACACAGCAAGTATTGCAGACTGCTGATACAAGGGACTCATCATTGCTTTGCTCTGCAGTTTGTTATGGTCATTTTCAGTAGCTTACAGCAAAAATCAGACACTGAAAAAGCCACACTCTGCAGCACTTAGTTAGTCAAACTGCCAGTGACATCAGTGGGAGCTTGACTGAGTTAGCATTACAGAGTTGGGCCTTTTGCTAACAATCATAGCTGCTACTTACCCATATGTTCCATACTTAACATGCTGGTGTGACTGACTATATATAGGCCTGGATTCAGGAAGGTACTTATAAACGTGCATAACTTTAAGGATATGGGTAGAACCAGACAATAATTTAGGGCCACAGTGCCAGGTTTTCAAAAGGTATTTAGGTACCTAAAGATGCAGATAAGCATCTAATGGGATTCTCAAGAGTGCCTAAGTTGAGCACCCAACTCCCAATCATTTCAATGAGATTCAGGACTGGTCTACACTAGGAACTTACATCAGCATAGCTACATCCTCACCGCTGGGAGACGCAGCTATGCAGACCTAACCCCTGGGTTATGTCAAAGGAAGAATTCTTCCGTCAACCTAGTTACCACTTCTAAGGGAGACGGATTAACTACAGCAATAGGAGAACCCCTCCCGTTGCTACAGTGCATATCTACACTGAAGCAGTACAGCTGCGTCGCTGTAGCGCTTTAAGTGTAGACATACCCTTAGACACCTAACCTGTTTAGGTGGTTTTGAAAATTCCACTAGATCCCTATCTGCATTTTTAGATGCCTAAATACTTTTGAAAATCTGGCCCATCATGAACACTGTATTGATCTATATTAAGATTATTTAAATCATGTCCTACCTCACCTGATATGATGAGATTAAGCAGAAACATAAATAATATACAACTAGGACAGTAGAAGAGCTCCCCCAAAATAATCTGCAGAATACCAAATTTAAGATGACTTTATTTATTTATTTATTGGGGGGGGGTACTTTTTTTTTCTTTTTTCTAACTCCCAAATTCTTTATTAGTAAGCACTGACTATGCGCTTACCCCTTGGAAGCTTAAAATTGGAGTAGATTTCTTTACTAAGTAATTTTTCCTCTTTCCATTTATACACAGTCACTATTTACTGTAAATATTTGAAGGACTATTGTATTCTGAGTCTCTCTCATATACTTATGAATTGACTCCAGATTTTCACCCAAACAGTTTGTTTTTGAAGTTGCATCATTTGATTATTTGCTCTGACATTCTAGTCCACAGTGTTTTAGAGAAGTTCCAAATCTTCACCGGCACTGAGTTACTACAGATCACAGTTGTTTTTTTACCTGTCTGAAATTGTAGATTTCTCCATTGTAACATAGCCATAAATATGGAAACTTCTTCACCCGAATAGGCTGCATGCCATATAATTGATCAACAATCGCCAGACGATGGAAACCAAAACAACAGTTGGTGAAGCCATTGACGTTTTCAAAACGAAATGCATCAGGACCTCGGTGAGCTATTTTCATGGCACTTAGACACTGGACAGAAAGGCATTCATCGCTTCCAAAAAGGGCCCAGATACCACACATTTTGAAATCTCTTGCAGGCTGTGTCACAGCTACTTAAAATGAAGAACCTGTTAGCAGAAAGATATGTGTTTGGGGTTTCTTTGTTTTTTAAACAATTACCAAGCCTATGGCCTTTCTCGCTCAGGGGTGTGAAAAAACACCCCCGAGCGCTGCAAGTTTCGGCGCCGTAAAGTGGCAGTGTAGACAGTGCACCAGCGCTGGTAGCTACTTCCCTCGTGGGGGTGGGTTTTTTACAGCACTAGGAGAGAGCTGTGGCAGCGCTTTAACGTTGCTAGTGAAAAACATACCCTATTTTAAAAGGGATAAACTGAAAAACAGAAGAACGTGTTTTTCCTTATTTACTTTGTGTATTTGACAGTACTAATGTTTTCACCCCTCAGCTCTACATAGTCAGTTCAGCTGTTTCACTATTTTGTATTTCCTCTATTGTTTGCGTGGGTCGTCCACATAGCAATGGGGGGAGGGGGGGGGAATTGTGAACAGAAAACGGAAATGGAGTTGCCAAGCCACAAAAATTGGCAGACAGACTCAGAGGTAGGTGTAGGTACTTCAAAACTACTTTCAATTTATTTTTAATTGACTAGATTTCAAATTGGCAGTGTCTCTTTAACACTGCAGGACAACTTTTTTCAAATGTTTTGACCATGGAGTGAATTTATGGAGGGACAGGAGGTAACCCCATTTCATTTAGCAAAAATTCATCTAAAAACCCTCCTTTCCCCAGTAATCTCAATGGTGATACGCAGCCCAAGTAACACGTATTGCTTTATTCATATCCTCTGCCTGATGCAATACTGGTGTCTTCCTCTGACGCATTTCTTAGGAGTACAGCTTTGCACAGCAATGAGTCAGTAAGCCTCTCCTCTTAAGGACTGCATAACCCACATGATGCCCAGCGGCTGAGGTTCCATGTGGGCAGAGGAAACTGCCCACACAAATCAGTTAACAGGATCAGGACTTTAGTCCGCAAACTATAATAGAGACCAGTGTCTGCCTCTGTGTATTCATCACCTAGCAGAATGGGGCCCTCAACCTTCGGGTCTTCTAGGCACTAATGCAACACATAGCAAGGCCCCATTCCTCCAGGCATGTGCCATCGGAGCAGTCTCATGTGCCATAAGCAGGCGGGTAAGAGTTTGGAGGATCGGGGCCTACAGGAGAAGCTGGCAAAAGAAAAACATTAACATGCTTCACGCGAGTGACCAATGCCACCATCAGAAACGGCTTTTATGCCCAGCTGCCCCTGGGCGTGCGCCATTCCCCGCAGCTGGAGGGCGCGGTCCGGGAGGGCACCCAAGCCAGTAGGTGGGGAGCAGCGCACACCCCGGCCAGGCACAAACCAGGAAGGAGCTCGGTACGGGGGAAGCAGCGCGGCGGGCGGCAGCAGCCCCCACCCACACCAGCCGTGCGGCGATAGCTCCCCCCGGTGCCCTGCCCGCCAGCCACGCGGTGCGCGCCCTCCCCGGGGAGAGCCAGCGGCTGCCGGGCACAGCGAACCGCCGCCGCCCTCCCTGCCTCGTTACCTCTGCTCCGCCTCCAGCGCCGGGCGAGGCTCCAGCAACCCCCAGCCAGATGCTGCTAGGGAGGCTCCTGCTCCAGGGGGTCAGGATGCTGCTAACCAGACAGACCGACTGAGGCACTAGTCTTCCCCGCCACTCCTGACCTGCCGAGCAGCGCCGGTGAAACCTGGCTCCTCCTCCCAGTCTTCCTGCTACTGAAACACGGAGCGAGGTTTCATCATGCCGCAGCCCTTCGCTGCTCCGCCCCAATCTCACCACCAAGCACAGGGAGGCGCTGCGCTCTGCTCTGCTGTACACCTGGTTCTTCACTGACTCTAGATTTATATTATTTAACTCAGCAACCTGGCGCCAGCCATTTCCTGAATTTCCTGCGCCTCCCCGTAAGGCGGGCAGGGGAGCCTGTCAATCTGTTCACAAGGAACGTTTCTCCAGAAAGAAAAGAGACACCCTCCCCCCCCCCCACACACACAAGCAAACAAACACATGTTCTGTGCCAGATTAAATACAAATATTAAAATAGTCGTGTCAAAAATGTCCTTGCTAGGGTGCGATACACTGAGCATAGTCAGCTAATGGTGTCTCCAGTTGTGAGGAAAGCAGGGAGGCTATAAATATTCCAGCCAGAGCCATATGGTATTATACAGCTATCAAAGCCATTTCCCAGTATACACATGAGTAGATACAATTAAAGATGATCAGAACGCACAGTCATACTGTTATCCCACTAAAACTACTTCCAAAGGTCCTATTCTCCATCACTTGTTATTACTGGCACCCCGTTGCAAAGTGGTATAGACGTGAGAGCCTTCCAAGGCGGCTGCCAGTTAGAGGAAAAATTACTGACACAGTCTGGGTATAATCTTAGTGCAACTTGTTTATTTTACACTATAAACACCAGTCTTTAAACAGAGTTGGTCAAAAACAGCATGCACGCAATCCCCATTTTTATGGATCTCAGCCCAAATACCAGTGTCTAATTCCCAGCAACACTACCTCAAGCATAAATTCCAGTTGGAGAGGCCTAAAGCAGAGACCAAACTCCCTTGGGGTTTGCCACAGCTCCTCCCAAAACTGACAACACAGCATTTCTTCTAAGACTAAATATTTACTCACAAGCTAGGAAAAGGAACTTGAAAGAATAGGCGACAAAGAGTCTTTGAGTTGGCTTTTTAAATACCTTCATGCTGTTTCACATCTGATACTCATTGATGAAACGTAGGAGCCTTGTCTTATAACAGGCTTATTCAAAGTGATACAAGCTACAAAAGTGAGATCTTGGAAGAGTGTTGCCGTTTTCATAATGTAATAAAAATACTGCAATGTTAAATAATAGTTGTTAACAAATAGTGTGTAATAAGCATGTCATAAAAACAAATTTTATATTTCCAAGATCACTGCTTTTATAATTTATACTCAGGTAAAGGAGAAAATCCCTGGAAATATTCATTTTCAGAAGGGGGTTCACGAGATTTGACATTTTAGTGAAAGGGGTTCACAGGTTGTTAAAGTTTGGGAACCACTGCCATACAGCAATCAGATCCAGTGTCTCCTGTTTGCTCCATGCTGGAGCTCATTTGCAATTCTGGGGGGACTGCATGGTCACCTGTGCTGCTGAGCTCACCACGCTGACCAAACAGGAAATGAAATTCAAAAGTTCCTGGGGCTTTTCCTGTGTACCTGGCTAGCGCATCGGAGTTGAAAGTGCTGTCCAGAGCGGTCACATTGGAGCACTCTGGGATAGCTCCCGGAGGCCAATAACATCGATTTGCGGCCACACTACCCCAAATTCGACCCAGAAAGGTCAATTTTAGCGCTACTCCCCTTGCCGGGGAGGAGTACAGAAGTCAATTTTAAGAGCCCTTTAGGTCGACGGAACGGGGTTGCTTGTGTAGACACATTCATTATAAAATCGACCTAACGCGGCTAAATTCGACCTAACCCTGTAGTGTAGACCGGGGCTGAGTTTAGTTCCTTAAGTCTAGATGATCCAGGACTGTGGACCCACTTGAGCAGTAGCCTGAGGGACTTCCTTGTACTGCATGGGCCACAGCAAGTGAAAAACTTTATGTTCCCCAAAGACAATGAAAATAGAAGTTTCCATCAAGTGAAATCTCCAATGGCGACAAAGTGGAGAGGCCATGGCTTATGTACTCAAAAACCCAGAATGCTGCGTACTGTTTTTGTTGCAAACTCTTCCAGTCTAATGTTCCAGCCACATTTGGTTTCTACAGGAACAAAGGACTGGAAAAATCTGGCTAGAAATCTGGCTTGCCATGAGAAGGCAGCAAATCACCAGAGAGCATTCCATAGGTGGAAAGAGTTTGAGATGAGACTAAGGTTAAAGGTCACCATAGATGATCAGCATCAAGAGAAGATTGCATCAGAGTCTTTTTACTGACAAAATGTTCTGAAAAGGCTCATTGCCATTGTGATAATGCTTGCTACACAAAACTTAGCACTGCGTGGCACTTCAGATGAGCTGTATGTGCCAAACAATGGAAACTTCCTTAAAATTGTGGAGCTGATGGCTGAGTTTGATGCTGTACTCCAGGAGCATCTAAGAAGAGTCACCACCCAAGAAATGTACACACACCACTAACTTGGAAAAACAATTCAAAATGAGATCATACAGTTACTGGCAACAAAAGTCAAACAGAAGATTGTGGCAGATCTGAAGTCAGCAAGATATTACTCTGTTATTCTGGACTGCACACCTGACATCAGCCATATGGAACAAATGACTTTAATGGTGTGTTTTGTAACAACAGTACCTAGTGAAAATGTCCCTGCAATGGTGACTGTCAGAGAGCATTTTCTAGAACAAGGGTAGGCAACCTATAGCATGTGTGCCGAAGGCGACACGCGAGCTGATTTTCAGTGGCACACTCACTACCCGGGTCCTGGCTACTGGTCCGGGGGGCTCTGCATTTTAATTTAATTTTAAATGAAGCTTCTTAAACATTTTAAAAACTTTATTTACTTTACATACAACAATAGTTTAGTTTTATATATTATAGACTTACAGAAAGAAACCTTCTAAAAACGTTAAAATGTATTACTGGCACACGAAACCTTAAATTAGAGTGAATTAATGAAGACTCGGCACACCACTTCTGAAAGGTTGCCGACCCCTGTTCTAGAATTTATTGACATTGATGATACTACAGGAGCTGGTATGACAAATATGCTTCTTAAAAAGCTGGAAGATACAGGAATTGCGATAGCTGACATGAGAGGTCAGGGCTATGATAATGGTGCCAACATGAGAGAAAAGAATAGAGGAGTGCAGACACAGATCCGAGAGATAAATCCTCAAGCTTTTTTTGTCCCATGCAGTTCTCATTCATTGAACTTGGTGGTCAGTGATGCAGCATCAGCTTCTAGTGAGGCTGCTGATTTTTTTAATGTAATTCAGAGCATCTATGTATTTTTCTCTGCATCAACTCATCGATGGCAAATTTTGAAGCAACATCTGGGAACATCCTCTCTGACACTGAAACCACTGAGTGCCACACGATGGGAAAGTTGAGTGGAGGCGATAAAGCCTATCAAACACCAAATTGGGAAGATAGATGATGCCATAGTTGTCATTATGGAGGATAATGCTATGACAGGAACTGTTCATGGGAGAACAGTGGCAGAGGGAAATGGAATCACCAGAAACATACATAACTTCAAATTTCTGTGTGGCTTAGTGTTGTGGCATGACATACTGTTTGAAATAAATGTTGTAAGCAAGAGACTCCAAGGTGTTGACCTTGATATATCTGGAGCAATGGAACAACTGGACAAAGCAAAGTCAGACCTACAGTCTTACCAGTCAGATGAGGGATTTCAAAACATTCTGAAGAGTGCACAGAAATTGGCAGAGGAACTGCACACTGAAGCTATTTTCCCACCCATTCAGGAATACAAGAGTCACCGAAGAAGAAGACATTTTGATTATGAGGCACGGGATAATCCCATAAGAGATCCCAAACAACAATTCAAAGTTGAATTCTTTAACCAGGTGCTAGATTGTGCAATACAGTCAGTTGAAGAACGTTTCATGCAGCTCAAGGAACATAGCAGTATATTTGGAATGTTGTATGATATTCCAAAACTCCTCACTATACCTGAAGACCTACACCAGCAATGCAGGGACTAGAGACAGTGTTGACACATGATGACATGCGCGATACTGATGCGAGTGATTTAGGTCATGAACTGAAAGTCCTTTCAAGATACATTTCAGCAGGATCAACTACAAAGGCACAAATAAGATGTGCTCAAATAAGATGACCACCCTCTTTCCAAATGCTTTTGTTGCTCTGTGTATACTTCTAACACTTCCTGTAACAGTTCCAGTGGAGAACACAGCTTCTCCAAGCTGAAGTTAATAAAAACACATCTACGCTCCACGACACAGGAGAGGCTGGTTGGCCTTGCAACCATCTCAATAGCTCATGAGCTGGCCCAGACTGTGGACCTTCAGGAAGCAGTTCAAATCTTTGCAACCAAGAAGGCATGGAAAGCACCACGTTGATTATTCAAACAGATAAAAATGCCAGTGTTTACTATGCAGACAAGAAAAGTTACATTTGCTGTTCAGGCGTTTGAAAGTTAAGTGTTAAAATTTTTGAACAAGGCATTTTAAGTTGTTAGTTCTCCTTTATTGGGGTAGGTAGCAGAGCAGTACCATGAGAGGAGCAGAACAGGAAGAAGGCAGAATTGAGACCTTTCAAAGTTTTGGCCCAAGCGAGGGGCCATGGGGCCGTCATTTGAGCTCCCCGCCTCAAGTGCCAAAATGTTGTGGGCCGGCCCTGACCAAACCCTATATGTGACTAAATTCACTTAATGCCTACATTTTCAGGGTAAAAGTTCCCTCTGTGCCTAAGTTTCTGCCTTTGATCACGCTCGCTGCTGCCTCACTCTAGGTGTCTGGATGCCTATCTCCCACCTAAGCCCCAGAGCAATCCACAAATTGGGGGAAGATGGATGGCCAGAACCTAAGTTGCATCCAGTCGATATGGACAGAGCTGTCTACCAAGTTGGATCCCATTCAAAATCCACCTGAAGGAGGAAGTGGTGCCCACCTTACAACTTTTTGCCCACTGGTTAGGGCACTCACCTGCGAGATGGGA